AAAAATAAAGCTCTTTCTCCCAATATAGCTTCTGTAGAAAAAATGAAAGTATCTTTATGGTTGAGTCAAGTTTTCCAAAGTATATTTTGCATAGAAATTAGTACACTAAAGGGAAAGTTAAAAGAGAATATTACTGCAGGAAGTGTGGTTCTCTAAGGATATACTCTTATAGGTATTTTACCATTTTGGAAGGTTTTAATCAAATGCAAAAGTTAAAAAAGTAAAAACTCAAATAATGGGAAAGTATACCCCACAGTGTTAGAAAATCTGGAGCCTATTTTGGTGAAGGTTCTTTCCTAGATTTAATACCATAGCGCTAAGGCAGTCAAGTGCGTTACTTCAATCTCACACATGCTTTGTAGCGAATGAAAACTCATGAAAAACAGGACACAATGTAACATCTTTTTGCCCACAGACTATGGGGATAGATGGTGTTTACATTAATTAATTAATTATCATAATATTGTAGTTATAAGATCATCTGAGACTACATTGGATAGAGATTCAGCTCAGTGAATACTTGTTCTGGAGAAATTTAATAGGACAAGAGTCAAACACAGGCTATATCTGAGAGCTGTAGAAGAACAAAGAGTCAAGACACCTCAAATGAAGAGATCAGCAGATTGATGAGTGATGTCCAGGAAACAGGTATACAGAATTACAATGTCAAACAACAAAACACTAAGGGTAAATGGGCAACATTGTCATGGCACCCTAAACATGGAAGTACTTCTATGAATGTGAGCTTCAGCTGCACTCATGATGGAAATCCAACTCAATCAAACAGCAATTCTGAGTTAGGACTAAATATTGTATTCGTATTTAGCATAAGCCTGCAAGGTAGAATTTAGACAAAATCTGAAGTGTAAGATTTGGATTACGGTGCAAGACCCTGTACTGAAAATTACAGAAAAGAGTATATCAGCTTAGGTAAGCCCTCTATAATTATTAATACAAGGGAGAGGACATAATGAGTACTATTTTAATGAAACAAATTCATAGATCTGTACCCCAGATTGAACTTGTCAAAAAGCTAAGTGTGGTGAGTTGTTGATCAGTTTTTCCTTCTGAATTCACTTTGATAATACAGCTGGGACACACAAATGGGTCTGTCTTAAGACTGACAGCCAGACTTTGGAGAAATAATTTCACACTTGGCCCCTGACTAACATGGCATCTCATTACTTAATCTGGTTTTTTATTCTCCTTCAGGTTGTCCATATCTCCCTGAAGAATAAGGGTTGTGAGATGAAGAACAGTAAGACACTTTACAGAAAACAGTGACTTCTGAGACTCTATCTTCATTTATGAATCAGGGACAGTTATGAGAATGACACAAATATGAAGGCCCTCTATAATGTTATCATACATTTAAGTATTAAAACCAAGAAAAAGATAATGGAGGCGGTAGAACACAGAGACTAAGAGTGACAACTAGGGAAATTTGAAACTAAATTAGAAAACAGAATTACAGGTCAAATGCTGTGGCTCAAGCCTGTAATCCCAGCATTTTAGGAGGCCCAAGCAGGAGGATCACTTGAGGCCAGGAGTTTGAGATTGGCCTGGGAAACACAGTGAGACCACATCACTACAAAAAAGTTTAAAAATTACCCAAGTGTGATGGTGCACCCTTCTAGTCCTAGCTACTCGGGAGGCTAAAATGGGAGGCTCACATGAACCAAGGAGCTTGAGGCTGCAGTGAGCTGTGATAGTGCCTGGGTGACAGAGCGAGGCCCTGTCTCTAAAGATAATTAAAAAAAAATTTTTTTTAAACCACAGAAAACAGTATTACATTACTTTTAAATTTCTGGAGTGAGATAACTATATTATGTTATGTAGGAGAACGTGCTTGTTCTTAGGAGGTATATACTTATATATTTAAGGGTGAGTTTCAACTTAATAAAAATGTCTGCAACTTACTTTCAACCGATTCAGCAAAATATAGACAGACTATACAAGACAGGAAGCAAATGTGGCAAAACACTGTATTAACATCCAGTGAATCCACGTGAAGGGTATTTGTGTGTTCAAATACTATTCCTTTTCTGTGCTATGAAGACTTTAAAATAAAAAATTGGGGACTTGAAGCTAGACAACCTGGGATTGAGTCCTGCCTGGCTCTGCCCATTAGGGCAAGTTCCTGAACTTTCTCTATCTCAGGTTCCCAACTTGTAAATAAGGTCCTAATATTATTATAATAAAGATGTCTATCTTGGAACGTTGGAACATAAAATGAGCCACTATACGTATTGCTTAGAACAGTGCTAGATACAAAACAAGGGATCGATAGACATTGCCTTTATTAATGACGCCGTCAGCCAGCTCTCTTTATGCACGGCTGTATTTTTGTTCATTGTATTTATCAGTACCTAACATTTTATAAATATGCATTTCCTTATTTTCTACCTTCTTATAAGAATTTATGCTCCAAGAAGGTAGGGACTTTATGTCTCTTGATGACTCATATACCTTCAGAATCTACAATGCCTAGGTAAAATGCTCCCAATAAATATTTTTTAAATGTATCCATGAAGTTACAGTATATCTCATTTTGTGACATGTCTGTTCTTATAAATTAGAAATTAAATCCATATGGATATAGAATTTATATAATATCATTTTATTATTAAATATTATTGTAAAAGAAATATATTCCTTATAAAAATTAATTGGTCCCAAGCTATAACATCACACCTTAACATATAGAAAGCTTTATGTTTTCTACATTTTAAAAAAGTCAGAATTTTAGACAAATTGATCAAATAATACTATTTGAAACCATATATCTCAGTATAGAGTACTTCAGGTTATTTTTAAGCTTAGAAAAATAATAAACTATAGAAAAACTAAAGAAATTGAACTTAAAAGACATTCCATTTCTATCAACATAGACGTGTTCAAAGTAACTATGTGCACCGAATCTACCAGGTGCTCACGCCCCTCACAGGAGACTCACATGGATGTCAAAGTCTGTGTCCATGTTTTTCTGGAACTTTCTGACTTTTCAAAAAGAAAGGGTGATGCGAGAGACTGAAATGCGATCAAAAGCAAATCAACAGATGGGGACGAGCTTTTACTAGAACAAAGCCAAGGGTCAATGCAGGAATTGGGGAGCCCATTCCCCGGAACACACAGCCTGGGGGAAATGGAGGTGCAGGGGGTGGAAGAAACGAGGCCCGGAGGACATGCACACTGCTGATGTTCAGATTTCTGCATCGTGGTTTCCTGAATACAAGACACACTTGTATTCTAACAGAGATGCTATCAATGTTGAACATAACTAGATGATTTCTTCACCGCTTTGACATGACATACCCTACTCTTAATCGTATCTCCCAGTATTAAAGATTTTTTTTAACAGAAATAACATGTTGGTGATTCACTTTCTGAGTTTTATCTACTGTGATCTTTTGACCTTTTTCTGATAAACTGCTTCACTCTTTAGTCACTGCTTACATTTATAGAGCTGCCATTACTTTTTAGTAACTGGTACTAATTCTATTAATAGTAAACTTTCTTCAGTTCACAGCTGACTATTTTTCCAGTATTCAAGACAATTTTCAGCATATTCTTAAAAAGGACCAAGATGAGATGGGCAACATCCACAGCACTGTCTCCCTTCTGGATGCCAAACCTCCCTCTCCGTATCTCTGGAACCACCCTCTCCAAGGGAGAAGGGGGAGGAAGAAATAAGAAAATTTTAAAGAAATAAAAAGCCCCTTTCCTTTTTATTTGAAGTAGTTCAAGAAGACAAAAAACCAGTATTGCCTTCTTAATGAATCTCAAGCCAACTCTACTGAGTTCAAGCTCCCACGTGCAGTTTAGCAACATATACAGGCTAACTCAGTGTGATTTCCAGTCCACTTAAAGGGAGTTTCCAACTGACAACAGGTCCTGTACCAACCATGGAAGTTGTAGGATGGATGACTGACATGGTTTGATGTTGGGCCCCTCCAAATCTCATGTTGAAATTTGATCCCCAGTGTTGAACATGGGGCATGGTGTGGGAGGTGTTTGGGTCATGGGGGCAGATCCCTTAGGAATGGCTTGGTGCCCTCCCCAAGGTAATGAGTGAGTTCTTGCTTTATTGGTTCATGTGAGAGCTGGTTGTTTAAAGGAGTCTGGCACTACTTCCTGTCACTATGTGACATACCTACTCCCGCTTTGCCTTCTACCTTGAATGGAAACTCCCTGAAGCCCTCATCAGAAGCAGATGTTGGCACCATGCTTGTACAGTCTGCAGAACCATGAGCCAAATAAACCTCTTTTCCATATAAATTACCCAGCCTCAGGTATTTTCTTTATAGTAAGCAATGCAAATGTACTAATATAGTTACGCTGCCCTGGTTTGGATATAATAGAAAGAAGAAAGCCATGGAGACAGCAGATAGAATGTGACAGAGAAATCCAGAGGAACTTGAAAGGCGCTGGAGACATGGTGCTGAATCCTGTGTATGTGATGTCTCCCCAAACAAACACACACACACAGCATCATGCTTACAATTCCCTGGAATGAAGTTCTGAATCATCAGTCAAAAGAACCTGTGATCCCAAGGACTCCAGGAGAAGAATCCCTGACCTATCAGAATGATCCCAGCCTCCATAAACTTGTGGTCACGAAACTCTAATTATTGTTGTGAGAAATTCACAGTGTTTCATCTGCTGGAAGTGCTTGCCCTTTTCTTCCTCATGTAGATAATAAAAGAATGTAAGTGTACTAAAGAAAATTTGGAAAATTCAGAAAAACCAAAGAGTAAAGAAAACAAAATACCATTCATTGTTTTATTATCCCTAAATAAGCAGTGTTTGGTAACTTTCTTAGGTATAGGTTCCAGAATATGTGTATGACTAAGAATAGCTGGAAGCACAATGTAACCACAATGTTGCTTCCTAATTTTTAGAAACCCCACCAAATCCTTCAAGGAAAATCCTAAAATGTCATAAAAAATTCCAGAGAAAGACAATGATGGGATAATTTCTCACTTAGAAGAGGTATCACTAAAGCTCTGAGGCCAGTTCCAGGGAAACACACGGAAACCACTCAATATACTCTGCACCCAGGCCTCAGAGTGCGTGCATGGTTATTTTCATTTACTGAAAGCTCCAAATGCAGTTTAAATGACGGTGGACCTTGGCATCATCTGCCTTCCACCACCTCATCATTTTTAGAATTCTGAGAGGCTACTAAATTTTACTTTAATTTTAGCTACCACAGATAAAGTAAGTATAAGTTACAGCCAAGTTTCTACGATGGTTTTTAATAGGACTGTCTCCCAACAACATTTCTTCACTGTCCATGGAGCAATGTGTTTCTAAAGTAATTTTACTATCTGAGAATCTGTGCTGAGAAATCCCAAGGTCTGAAGCAAATAGAAAAATACTTTACTAGTAATTCTTGTTCTTTTAAGGTGTGTCACAATTTCACTATTAAACTTGTCCTGTGAGATCAAGAGCAGGGGCTCAATTAGCTTCCTTTACATTAGATGGTCAACTGTCTCCTCTCCTCCTAGCTTCTAGAATTTCATTGTAAAAAGACTCAAAAACTTAAACAGAATCAGAGGTCAACTATTTTCAAGTAGAAGAAGGTGAAGGAATTGAGGCAATTTAGGAAAATAAAATCCACACAGTTGCTGCAAAGCAGGGTGGATGAGTAAAGACTTGGCACTGGACATGCCTTCAGAAACAAGAATTGCTGGCGGAAATTGTCAGGCCTACAAATCTGCTTGCTCACAGTCAAAACCCATCTATAAATTAAAGATTTCAGAGCTATTCCTGGAAGGGCAACAATGACAACAACATTTACAACAATAACAATAACAATGGTAAAGAATTGGTCACTGTGATTGTTACTTTTTTTTTTTAAAGAAATAAGCCACAATTCTCTGAAATGAAGAAATCAATCATTCAATACATATTTATTAAATGTTTACTTTTAAAAAGTAAGAAACTGAGCTAGAATCTTACAATAGCGTTTCCATCATCAAGTAGCTTAGAATTAATTTGCAGAACTAGGGTGAACATGAAAATTCATTAGTGTTAAAATATACAAATGAACAGCACCTTTTCATCCTTTCCATGCATGGGTGAAGAAATTCCAAGAAGTGGTCCAAAGGGGACCATTACACAAATAATAGAAAATACTTTAGAAATCAACATATTGGCATAAAAACTTAGCAAAGCCTACAGAATTCTATTACCTGCATTTACTCAGCATCATTAAAATTACATGTTTGCCAATCAAGAATTATTATCACATTCTAACTGTATAATTTACCTTTACAAACACTTTCTTATAAAACTTCAAAGCACTTCATAATTATTTTTCAGTTAATAATGAAAAACTATTATTGTCTTCACTTACAAGATGTTTCCTAAGAACAGAGCAGTAACATAAATGTTATATGCTAGCTTAATCACCAGGAGAATTTGAACCCATGAATACAACTTGCAGTTTAGTGCTCTGCTAAGGACAAATAAAAACATATACGGTTGTTTGGGATGAGATACAGGAGGAGAGTTAAAATGAGAATGTGAGACATTTTATTTTGGTTTCGCCTATCATCAATATACACATTTTAAGTAGATCCATGTCCTCAATATTCTCCTGGGTAGTGAACAAAGTTAGTTAAACCAATAAGCTCCGCTTAATTATCTGCAATGCTATAAATGTACATATACATATGCTGATGCTACCAAAGTATACAGATAATTACATTTGATAAATTACCTCATTTAAGGCATTCCACAGCTCCTCATCCGTGTGCTCATTAAAGGGATCCAGGTTTTTCCTCATTGTTCCAGTAAACAAAACAGGGTCCTAAATGCCCAAAATAGTGAACGTCATTACGTAGCCTCTTTTCATTTTATTACAATGCTAACTTTCAGAATAGAATTAAAATACAAAAAAAACAAAATTCACAATAATCATTAGTTATAGGGCTGCAAATACCTGTTTACAAATTAATTTTCCATTTTACAAAGTACATTGGAAAATATCTTCCAGACCACTGAACACTAACAAAAGAAATGGTTCCAGTGTGCCATCGTAAGAAGAAAATAAGGAAGAAAAAGGAAGACCTGATTTGCAGAAATGCTTTCCTGGTAACAGCTGCTGAAATGGGACATACAAGGATATAATTATTTGAGAAAGTTTATATCAAGAGAGCTGTAGAAATTGTAAACTGTGGTGTGATACTGGAAAATACCAACAGCATGCTAAGTTGAAGTTTGTACTTCAAAGCAGAATTGTTAAATATTTTCCAATTTGCACTGAAGAATAAATTAGGGCATTTTCTCCATGAGTAATAGTCCTCCAGGATTCGGGATCTCTCCACACCTCAGAATGGGACATTCACAAAATGTTCCTAACACAAAGAAATGAGATAAATACCCGAGGTGCTGGATATCCCAATTACCCTGATTTGGTAAATTCACATTTTATGCCTGTATCAAAACATAACATGAAAAAAAGAAAGGAGTTGGTTAAAAAAAAAATAGTATAACATATAGTTATTAAGTTAACGTTAATAAATTTTATGCAACAAAAAAGAAAAAAAAAAAAAAAAGAATGGGACATTCAGATGTTTGTCCAGAAGAGATATAAACAAGTGGGGTCAGTGGCATCTCTATTCCTGAAGGAATGGCCTCTGCTTTTGCATCAGCGAATCCCCACATTATCTTCTGTGCGTCAGGGTAACACTTTTCACAGGACATCATTAGTAACTAAAAAAGCAGGGTAACCTGACGCCCACTGAGAAGCACATCATAATAAAATTATTTTAATTCAAATAGCTGTTCCTATTCATCTGATCAAGGAGCCCACAATTGAATGACTCTTGGCCTCCTTCTGGATTTCAAGAGAGAATCTTGTACATAAGCTTATGCAGGATGTTTAAAAGTTCTATTAGTTTTTCTAGCAACCCAGGCAACAAGGATAAATATTAAAAAAATACTGAAATGGGCACTTTATTTCCACAAAGTTGATTAAGTGGCCCATATGTCCTAAAAGCATTGAAAAAAAATTACTGGTCATACTATGTTTCCACATGATTACTGAATTGAACTGAAAAATCATGAGAGCCACATTTGAGGTCTCCCATTAAAACTACTGAATTTATTAGGATCAAAGACCAACAACCATCTAAGCAATATGTGAATTTCTTGGAAGGGAAATAACCATCATGCTACTTATTTCACACTAAAACAAAACAAAACAAACAAACAAAAAAAAACCTTACTCTTTGTAATTATCAACTTACATATTCCAAGTATCTGGGTAATTTCTCCTCCATTCACTGTCTATACGAGGTTTGCGGAAACAAGTGGCCAGGTAAGGGAAAGCTGCCACCCATGGTTTTTTTTCTTTCTCTTTCTTTCTCTCTCTCTCATGCTCCTCCCATCTCCCCAAGAGGGCGCTAATTGTGGGCAGTCTTTTCTATTCAGGGACCAAAACTGAGAGACTCTTTGAGTATGGATGTTTCAAGAGATGAAGGGGATGGGCCAGGCGTGGTGGCTCACGCCTGTAATCCCAGCTCTCTGGGAGGCGGAGGCGGGCAGATTGTTTGAGCTCAGGAGTTCGAGACCAG